CTGTTACCAGTTTACCGTCCCCGAGGAAGAAGGCCTTCAGTGGCCTGAGCTGGAGGCCATCCGGGATCTGACTATCGAACCGCGCGCATGGTAAGCAGCTTACCTGGCGCTATACCACCTATGCAAGATGAGACGCGTTTGTTGAAAAAACGCGTAAAAAATATATCGAGCTAGAACAATGGCCCGTCCCCTGCCTGCCTCCTAAAGCAGCATGCTTTCATTCGTGACGCTAGATTTCCTTCCTTGAAGTAGTATAACTTGAAATTTTTAAATTATTTTCAAATTAAAAATTACTATTAAAGAAGTCTTACCATCAAATCCCTGTCTCAAATCCCTGCTGAAATCCATTTATTCCAGGTGTACTGTCTATCGTAGACTGAAACCAGCTGGAGCAGTAGAAATCAAAGAACGAAAAATCACTCTTGACCGAGGTGACCGTAAGATCTCCAGAAGTGATAGTATGAGTACTAATATCTCAGTGATTAGTGATCCATCGAAGGTGTGTGTCACGCCATAATCCTCTGTTGTCGATCTACAGGGTTGTTCACTCCATATCTCGGAGGTAGAGGAGGCGTGGCTGTTTACTCCACTTGAACGCGGCGGCAGTTTTACGGCATACTTCAATTCAAGACAATTGCCATCCTGTCTTATGCTGGAACAGGTCTTGCTTATAAACTGATTACAATTGCTCCGAAAAGGCAATATTCCACCAAGCGCACGTTCAAATGCAGTACGCAGCCACGCCTCCTCCATCTCCGGCACATGAAATGCATGTAGTAGAAATCTTTGTGCAGTAGCTGTTCATGTATAGAAGCTACAGTACCATCTCAGGGACATTTACAGTATCATTCTCAAGTTCTGAGAAGTTGCTTGCTACTCCGACGAGTTCGATTCGACGATTTGACCACGGGTCTTTTAGAAACTTGCCGTTGTTCAAGCATTATGTAAAAATTGTAAATTTTAGTGATCTTGCAATTTTTTATTCTATCACTTTGTAGTTAGTTTGACACCACGTTGTTATTGACGATA